GTGTAACTAAATCAGGCTGCCAGACCCCACTAGCAGTTATTAATAAGCAACCTTGGCAGATTGGGAGTTTGCTGGTCCAGGTACTTTGAGAAGAAAGTCATGAGCCAGCTCTATATACCTTGTTAGTAAATACTCGAATGCTGGCTGTAAGACTGAGGGTAAGGCTATATCCTCCTGGCTGCTGTGCTAGTTAGTACCCATCTGGATATATGAATGAAGGACAAGAGCTTTCTTGCAACACCAAGGGTCCCTTTTCTACTATATTAGTAGAAATAAATTTTCAAGTAAAATATAGACCTAGAAAAGCTAAGTTTTTGGCATCCCCCCAGCCTTTTTTTTTCCTGAGCCTAGCTAGGTAGGATCTTTCCCTGAGCCCCCCCTGGCTGTCACAACCTACTCCAGAGTATCACAGTTCCTCCATCCTACCAGTCTGAGTGTTAACACATTTCTTTTGTGTTGAGCTTCTTGTGGGTAGAACCTGATCTTGCTCATTTTCACATCGCCATTCAGAAATAGTAAATCCATGTTTATTACTCATTAGAAAATACTACACAGGTATAGTTAGAAGCCACTGTTCAGTCTAAGGTACACTGTATTTCTTTCAACACTTGGGCAAGGTCATCAAGCACATATTTGTGAGTATGTACTTTGTGAACACAGCAGAGTAGACCAGCAACAGGGCTACACAGCAATGTACCCCCTCTTCCCACTCATGGCTCACAAATCTCTTCTGGAGAACACATCAGAATACAGCACTACTGACCACATTTCAGTGATCTTGTCAAGAGCTGACTCATGCTCCCCACATCAGCACTTTTCCCCACTTATATTACCTCAGTCTACATGTTTTACAGTGAATGATTCAGACACTGCTGGGTGTCTACTAATGTTATCTAACAAAGGAACTCTGCTAACTATTGGCTTCCTCAACATCACCTTTGTGGTTGGTTTTACAAACGTTCCTCTAAGTGTGTGAGTCACACCTGTTTTTCCTCACAGCAGGGAATCCTGAACCATACAATATTGGGCAAGTGCAGTGTGTGTGTGGGAGGCAGGTTCCAGTTGCAGCATTCATCATCTATGTGACTCCATCTAGTTTTAGTTCCCTTAGTTACCAAAAGGACTTGTTTGAAAGGTTCTCAAAATATGTAGGCAGTATATAAAGTAACCGGAAGAGCATCCATCAGTCAGGTACCATTTTAGGGAACTTTTTGGTTTGTTTTTTAAGGATAAAATTAATTTTTTTTGAGAAATAATGATCTTCCCTTTAGTCTGAGAAATAACAAAGCATGTGGTTGGTTTCACATAGCAGGGAGAGGGCTTTGTTTAGAAGTCTGTGAAGTCCACATGGCTTCCTCCCTCACTTGACAAAGCTTCACAGTCAATAATACCTGTGAGGAGGGCACAAATAGACTGCAGAACCAACAAAATCCTGGTTGGAAAATGATTCTATCTAGTCTGTCTTGTGGTTAGTTTATTCAATTCCATATACAAACCTTGGAGGCCACTTATAATTAACAATGATGTTATTCCTAGTTTTTGAAGTCACAATCTTCATTGTAAGCTTATGTGTTAATGAGCCACCCTTAATTCTTCACAAGAGTGTTCTTGTGATGGGGGCTTTATTATAACCTAACAAGAAGAATGCAAAACACAACACAAATTTAACGAACAAATGCAAGTACATACAGAAAGTTAAAGTGTTAACTAAGACAAACCAACAAGGGCAGTCCTTGTGATACAAGGGCCACCTTTGCAACATGATTTTAAAAAGATGAAAAGCTATCCTATAAAAACACTTATAATTAGTACATTATATCAAGTTTTAAAAATATTCTTTAACAAAATTCTAAACTAACAGCAGGGTATATGACAGGCTTCCAGGAACTGTGGCACACAGTATGTGGACTGTGCTTTGATGTACGGTAGTGCATGCACTCTGAGCAAGCTTAGGCTGTCCCTGACCATCTGTAAAGACACAAGCTTCAGCCAACTGGAGATGGTGAGCAGACCAAGTATCAGATGATGACAATAATTATTAACTTAATATGGTATGATAAATGCCATTAAATCCTTAATGTGATCTTGAGCAATAGAAGTAAAAATCACAAAATTAGAAAGTGAAGTAACATATATCTGAAACATGCATTGCCTGGAATTGATTTTAAAAATAAAAAAATGACTAATTTTTTTTTTTACTCATTTTGTTGTGTTTGTATGTATGTGTGTGTGTATGCATATAACATGGCATGTGATCAGAGGTCAGATGATAAATAACCCATGTGGTTGAATGTTATTTTAAGGTGTGTGTTTTTTGTTTTTGCTGTATTTGTTTAATTCAGTGAAGCTGTGGTTTTTTGCCTGTCTGAAATACCTGATGGTCTAATAAAGATCTGAACAGCCAATAGTGAGTTAGGAGCAAGGATAGGAAGGGCTGACAGACAAAGTATAAACAGAAGGAGAAAAGAGGAGGTAGGGAGTGAGAGCAAGAGAACAAGGAGGAGGAGGACGTCGGGCCAGCCACCAATCGTCTAGCAACACAGCAGTCCACGAAGTAAGAGTAAGATTTACAGAAGTAAGAGAACAGGAAAAGCCCAGAGGCAAAAGGCAGATGGGATAATTTAAGATAAAGAAAAGCTGGCTAGAAACAAGCCAAGCTAAGGTCAGACACTCATAACTAAGAATAAGCTTCTGTGTGTGATTTCTTTGGGAGCTGGGTGGTGGGCCCCTCAAAGAGACAAAAAAGCATTGGAGGTGTTTCTCTTCTATCATGTAGACCCCTGGTTTGAACTCAGGTAGTCAAGCTCAATATCATAAGCCATTTCATTGGTCCCAAAATTTTTTTGTGTGTATGTTGGAGGTTAAATCTAGAGCCTTGTACAGACTAGGTAAGCACTAAGCTACATCCCTAACTCTTGAATTTTTGCCGGAAACACATCATGTAGCCCAGGCTTGCCTTAAACGTGTGATTCTCCTGCCTTTGTCTTTCAAGTATTGAGATTACAGCTATATGTTCCCATGCTGAAATAATTATGGAAAACAAACAAACAAAAAACTACTGGGGACAAAAGAAATCACACACACACACACACACACACACACACACACACACACAAAATATTAAATGTGACAGTAGCTAGTCATATATACAGAAAAAGCAAATCCCAAAACAAATTCCATAGTCCATCATTAACACATGTGAAAGAAATGGGGGAAAATAATCTCACTTCTGCTCTTCATATTAAAAAAGATTTGACAAGATAAAACATACAATTAGTAAATTAAAAGTAGGAAAATTACAGAATAGGTAAAATGGAGACACGTTTTATTACGGGGAAACATAATAAAATACATCACTATAGCTGACAAAGAAAAACAAAGTGAGTGTAAGAGGGAATGACTGTAGAACCTGGATGATTTTCTAGGGAAAAACTTAACAAAACTGGTTCTACAACAGATACAAAATAAAAACAAATCATCATAAAGAACAAGAAAAAGCTAGCTGCCACAGTGACACATTTCTATAATCCAATATTCTGCGAAACTGAGTATCAAGTTAGCATGGCCTACATTTTAAACCTCCATCTCAAGCAAAACACAGACACAAAAAACAAAACACAAAGCCTCAACAAAATTGCTGAGCTATGTTCACAAAATGCCCCTTCCAGATGGCTTCCTAAGAAAGTGAACCTGAACAGACTAACTTCAAAGCCAGTTCACCTGTTTCAAAAGACTGAGTTAAAACAGTTTTGGATCTAAAAGAAGACAACAAAAAATTAACAACAAAATCATAAGAAATAACTGGGCATAACTTTCCCCCAACACTCAGAAGACTGAAGCAGGATGACCATGAATTCAAGCTTGAGCTACATAGTCAGATCCTACCTCAAAGACACTAATCAACAAACCAACCCACCAATCAGTCCAAGATGAGCACCGAGGATCAAGGGAAACAACTTGAAGATCTGTGGCAGGTGCATGAAAATAGTGTTTTGGAAAAATAAAGATCCAATGTCACAATAATTCATAAGAAAGAAAATATAAGTGGACAAAGGCAATATTCAAAATGCAATTGGTACAAGGAAATTGTTTGAGGGTTAAACAAAAATTTGTAGTCTAGTTTAAAAGTTATTTTGCCTTCCAGGCAAAGTGAATGGAGACCAACATTAGAAACACCTTGGCAACTGTAAGGGAAGAGATAATTTTTATGTCTGCATATGATGCAATCATTTACCTAGGAAAACTAGTCAACAAATATGAGTTAAGAAACATTTCACTCTGGATGCAGAAAAACCAACGTAGCCAATATTATTCGCTTCATCAACATTATTATGTAGAAAATATAATAAACCCATACTAGCAACAAAAATAGTAAATTATCTATGAATTAATCATGAATCCTAAGTCCTCTTTTGGTCTAAAGGCCAATGAAGATGATTTAAATAAACCTATTTAGTACTTATAATAAGAAGACTTAATACTGCACAATTATTAATCCTTTTAAATGATTCTGTAAATTCAATGTAATCCTAATAAAAATTACTGTTATGCTTAATGACCCCATTACACACATTAAAATTGATATTGTGGGATAAAGGTCTATATGTGGTCCGATCCCATTGTACACCCACACAGGGTTTCTTCAACATTTCCTGTGATCCCTATTCACCGAGAAAGTTTTAGGTAATTCTTAGGTATATATGTAAAATAGGTTTACAAATCAAACATTTAATAATAATAAACCATAGAGAAATTTATTTTAAAGCAACCCTAATGAAATGGTCACAGGAGCCAAAGTTCATTTATCAATTTTTGTTATTGTTGTTCTTGTTTTTTTGAGACAGGGTTATTCTGTGTAGTCCTGGCTGTTTTGGAGCTTAAGAGATCCCCCTGCCTCTGCCTCCAGAGTGCTGGGATTAAAGGCCTGTGCCACCCCCCCTTTTTTTAAAGGAAACTCAAGTCATCAATTCAAACAGCAATTTTTAAGAACAAACATTCTAGTGCTCGCTTCGGCAGTACACATACTAAAACTGGAATGATACAGAGAAGATTATCATGGCCCTTGCGCAAGGATGACATGCAAATTCATGAAGTGTTTCATATTTTTTGAAATGCAGAATGAAGCATTAATTATATAAGAAAACTATTTGTTACTCTGTTTGAATTATGTGTATAGGAATCTTAAATATAAATGAACTTGATGTAATTGTTTCACATCATCTTCAGAAATGGACATATAACGATGGATTCTGATGAAGACCAAAATTTCTTCTGTGCATTTACTTTCTATCAGAAAGCATCTCCACTGTAAATATGTATTTACATGTTTATCACAAAGACCTAGATGAAGTTTTTAGTCGATTTTTTGCATATCTGAAGGACAAAATGGGAATAAAATTCTATATTTATGAATTTTCTGTATATAAAACTGGTTTCTAATTATAACTTAAATCCATTAAGTAAAAGCTGTATTTCCACTTGAAATGTAAATTATTCAGGAGAAATTTCAACCACTGATTTGAGATGAGAAAAACAATGAAAATTGAGAGCTATAATATAGTTCTTGGTGTATTACAAGATTTAACCATTCCATTAAATAATTTTTTTTATTTTTGGTAGTATGTGCAAATGAAAAAAAATAACAAACATTCTAATATAATACAATTCAAGGATTTACTAATTTGATACATGCTGAAGAGTAAAAGTATGAAAAATACTGTCTTTGTTTTCTGTAATTCAACCGTGTTTCTGTAAGAGCAGCAAACTTGCATGCACTTTAACACTGAAATTTATGGCATACAGTGATTTCAAATCTGAGCTGAGGTGTTTCAGGCGGCATTGGTTGATGGTGCAATGGCTTGTACAGTGCAATGTGGGTGTGTCATGTGTTCAGAATCAAGGTTGCAGTAAAGTTCACAATGCAACATGGGCGAGCCCTGCCTCAAACACCTCAGGTTCACTATATATTTAATTCTGAATTAATTTTTGGTCACTTCATGCTCAGAAACTTTTTACTGTTACCAGAGTTTTTGTACCCCCTACACTCAGTTACATAATCATGTATGGGTTATAATCCACAACTTAAGAAGCTGAGTACTAATACATACGTAAGTAAAATCTATGTGGCATTACTGTAAAGACAGACAAACAGAAAAGCTGGAACAGAACAGAGCACCAGGGAAAACACTATACTCAACATGAAATAAAAGTAACTCCAAAAATCAAAGGAAAGGAATAGACTATGCAGGGGGTGGTGTGAGAATATAATAGGGCCCCAGACCTTAGCACAATGGATGCCATAATTTGGGCAAGTTCTTCATATGGCCACTGGCCAGCGATACTTTCTTTTTGGCTTTCAGAGTGTCCATATGGTGGGCTTACTTGATAACAAGAAGACTGATTAGCCATATGAAAGAAAACCAAATTGATTCCTATATTAAACCACTTAATAGATTCCAAGAGATTTAAAGGCCTAAATGTAAGAGAAATACAACTAACTGTTGAGAGAAAATGTAATATTTTTGTTACGTAGAAACAAGGGAATTTTTCTCAAATGAACTTCAAAGCCCCACAATATAAAACAAAACTGAAGAATCTAATTGTATCAAAATTGGTTTTGTTCAATAAAGCACATTATGGATACATTTCATTTGAATGTCTATAAAGTAGGAGGATATATTTGTAATGTCTAAGGTAGATATAAGGTAATGTTAAGAATATTCAAGGAATTCTTATTATCAAGAAGACACCAACTTGAAAAAAATGGACAAAAGACAACAATAGATGCTTCATAAAATGTATAATTATACATATATAAAGAGGTGTATTGGAATTACTCCACAATAGGGGGATAATGCTCCAAATAGATACCTTATGCTAGCAAATAAAAAAACCTCAGCACCAGGAATAGGTTAACTCTGAGTTTGCCATTGGGGTCACATAGACCCCAAACGTTATAAGCTATTGCCAGTACTCCTAGCTATCTCCCAGAACTTAAACCATAAGACACTATTGCTGAAGACACTAGAAACTTGAGTGACAAAACAAGGAAGCATCAGCTGGTACTAACTTGGAAGCTTCATCTCTCCTGGCTAGTGTTCATAGTGCTGGAAGGTGCTTACATGATGCTAGAGAGAAGAGTAAGCACCAATCTCACCAAGCTGGGAACCCTTCAAGCTATAATAATTCTTGGCCTGACAAGACAGACCCACTAGTGCAATAGTTATGAATGTTATGGGAGTTGTCAACAATTTTCTTATGGATCAAAGACCTTCTCTATAAGATGGAATCCATATCTGGCACTATTAAAGGGACCAAGAACCTGTGGATAGCAAGGCCACAGGCCTTAGGGGAAAACCCAATACTATTTTTATTAAGTTGGTTCCTAAAATGACTTATTTTTATACTCATAAAGAGAGTATCTCTCAACCCTCCTTCATCCTTGCAGTAGATCGACATTAACACAGAGACCTTTAACTGGTTAACATACAGAAAACAATAAACTGTGGAATGCTTAGCCCTAAATCAGACATGCATATCACACCATTCCCTCCAATGCTCAGGGACCTTTGTAGAAGAGGTGGCCGAAAGACTGTGAGAGCCACCCTAGGCAATACAAACTGGAATCAATAGGGAAAGAGAGAGAGAGGAAAAAAAGAAGTAATCTCAAAGTTCAAAGGCAAGGGTTGTGAGGGGGTAGAAAGGGTGGTAAGGAGAAATGACGATGATGACGATGATGATGTGTGTGTCTGTATACTGAAAATGCACTGTATGAAATTCTCAAAGAATAAAAATATTATAAAATATATGAATAGGCAATTTACAGGGACCCCCCAATCAATCAATCAATCATTAAAATGCTCAAGTTCAACAGTAATCAGGTAAATGGAAGATAAAACAACAATGAAATGTCATTGCACCCAATAGTCTGATCATACTGGTGGGGATACGGGCACACAGTCACACTCACATAGATAACCAACAGGTAATAGTTGTACTAATTGGTAGTTTCTCTGAATAGGAACCTGACAGTATTATATCAGTTTTATAAAGAGATATTTTGTGACCCTGAACTTCTTCACAGATGTATGCAATTAAAAATATACACACTACATATACATATATATATGTATATATACATAACACATACACTTTCTTTTTATTTTTGAGACAAGGACTTTTTCTGTGGCTCAGGCTGATCTAAAACTCACTATGTAGTCTAGGTTGGTTTCAAACTTGTGATCCCCTTGCCTCAGTTTCCTGAGTGCTAGGATTACAAGTGTGAGCCATCATGCCTTGTTCACACATATAACTTTATTTTAAAGTGGAAGCTATAATGAAAAGGCATGGCGATCAAAAGAATGAATACATGCATTCAATGAGAAGGCAGCCCTGAACACATCAATGATGAGAGCTACAAGTCAATGAGGTGTGGAGTTAGCATCCATGGCTGAGGTAGTGGTGGTGTACAGATTACTTACGGGATGGCCACAAACATATTAGTACAATTTTTGAAAGGTAAGATTTTTTATGTGCCCTAGGCACGAAACAACTTTGGCCACCAAGCTAGGCATCAAGTGAGGATGAACAAAGCACGGCCATCTGCTCTGCCCCTAAGAACACCACCACCAAGGTTTCTGCCCACTGCTAGGGGTAAAATACAAGATTCTTAAAAAGTCCTTTAAACAGTTAAGCTGAGAGAAAAAAAAATGTCTAATTGCAAAAGTAGACCAGTTAGATGCCTAACTTTAAACACCAGAAGACAAAATATCTTTTGAGTTTTGAAGTTGCATGGCCAAATACATTCTGCATTTGTGAAGGGAGTAAAATGTGAAGGTGTGCGAAGACCCACAAACTATACCATCCACACAGCTTTCCTTCTTTTCTTTTCTTTTCTTTTCTTTTCTTCTCTCTCTCTCTCTCTCTCTCTCTCTCTCTCTCTCTCTCTGTTTCTTTCTTTGTTTCTCTTTCTCTCATTCTTTCATTCTTTCCTTTCTTTTCCTCTCTCCCTCTCTCTTTCTTAAGATTTACTTATTTATTATGTATATAGTGCTCTGCTTGCATGTATGCCTGCATGCCAGAAGAGGACACCAGATCTCATTACAGATGGCTGTGAGTCACCATGTGGTTGTTGGGAATTGAACTCAGGACCTCTGGAAGAGCAGTCAGTACTCTTAACTGCTGAGGCATCTCTCCAGGCCCACATACATTTCTTGAATAAAAAAAAATTAACAAAGCTTTGAACATGCAAAGACTTTCTTACATGTAAAGCATGAAGTTACCTTTTGTAGGAAGAGGACAATCCTCACAAGCATCCGGGCACGGAGTTCTTCCAAGGTGAACAATGTACGGGGTGTTCGAATGAAAATTTTGGTCTTCCCATAAGCTACATCATCCTGAAAACCACATTGTTCTATGAGTTTTTTGACAGCCTCTTTGTCTGAAGGAAGGTCATGGTTAGGCCAGGTGAATTCAGAGATCATCTTGTACCTGGATGGACAAAGAACAGGGCACATATCAAAGGAGGGAAAAGCTATCATCATCTTAACAGGAAAACTCATCAAAACTTTAGCCATCTCTAAGGAGAAGTGAATTTCTTTAGTTTGATGAGATGAAGAAGAGACTCTTCACTAAAACATTCCTTTATGATAATAATACTAAACTGGGAATGAAAGGACTGCCTTAATCTTTGGAAGGCTACTCACCAAAAACTTAATAGCAATTATCATCTGCAAGTGGGTGACCTTGGAAGCATTCTTCTCTTTATAAACACAAGATGCTTCCAGGATGGGTTCTCAACGCTGCTCTGGAGGTCTAATTAGCACAGTGAGGAAGAGCACAACTGACAATGCTTATGAGTAATATGACTCTCTTCAAAGGAAATCAAATGGATCTATGGATAAAACCCTTAAACTAGGAGAAATTAAGTAGTGTTAGGTCAACACATGAGAACGAATTGCATTTGTACATCTAAACAGCTCCTTGCCATTTGAGTCTGTCACAAAGCAACTCCTTCCACCACAGCTTATTTCACAAGTATAAGACAGAAGTCACATGTCACAACCTCAAAGTGATACTCCACCACTTCTACATAGTCTGTTTTGTTCAAAGCAGTCATGAGCTTCAGCAGACATTTAAGTGAGTCACACAGGGCAGGAAAAACAGGAG